TACCTTTTTAAGAAGGTATAACACATAATACCACATATGGATGGTATGTGTTGGTCAATAGTAAAACTTCTAGTCACTCCTAGTTCTCCTGCTGTCATTAATGATGCTAACTATATAATATACAGTAACTAATCAGTAAATCTGGATTATAACTGTCCTGGCTCCAGGCTTCTATGTACTTTGTGCTAATTTAACTGAAATTACTTTGGTAATATTACCACTAAAGCAAAATTTTAGCCTTCACTGTTTTAGTTGTGTACTTGTATGTTGCATGTTACTAAACAAATGTTTAAATAAATGGACACACAACACACCTGGAGCCAGGTAGTATTCTATCATTGAGAAACTGTAGGCTACACTTTGCAAATAGAATGGGAGGAACTGGGTGTTAGGTGTTCATAGCAGCTCATGTTTACAATGGGGCCGCCTAGCGGTTTAATCTAGCCATGCTAATAATGAAAGGGATTTTACTCTTCATTTACTGGTCTTGGGGAGTACTGCATATGTGAAAGCCTTTTGTGGCTCCCTCTGGAGTCTCAGTTGAGCACTTGATACAGTGTTGGTTGGAGCTGAAGACTACAAGTAAAGTGAATATGAGGCTTGAGGCTAACAACTCCAGGCTACATTTGTATTATTTTACTAATAGGCCTACATTTATTTTTCATTAATTAAAAACGTCCTTAAAGAAGATTTTGTTATTTCTGTCCAGGCATATGTAATATGGAGTCTAAATACAAGTATGCTGCATTTACGCTGCAGCCCTTACTCCCACTATGACACCGCAGTTATTTTTGATAAATGTGCTGTTGTGTGTTTTCAGTGGACCGTCCAGTCAGAGTCTACGCAGATGGCATCTTTGACCTGTTCCACTCAGGACACGCTCGTGCTCTCATGCAGGCGAAGAACCTCTTTCCCAACACCTACCTCATAGTAGGAGGTAAGACAAAGCCACTGAGATAACACACACACACACACACACACACACACACACACACGGGTACACACACAAAGCCATATAGATTTGTCTGATAATGATTTATATGCTTTTGTGTTTTATGGGGTTTCCTTTCCATGCGCTTGGAACAGTGTGCAGTGATGAGCTGACCCATAAGTACAAGGGTTTCACAGTCATGACTGAGATTGAACGTTACGAAGCGCTGAGACACTGTCGCTATGTTGACGAGATTTTGCGAGACGCACCCTGGACTCTCACACCGGAGTTCCTAGAGAAACACAAGGTGTGTGTGTGTGTGTGTGTGTGTGTGTGTGTGGTTGCTTACATTAAACTGTGCATGTAGCATCCAGGAGCTGTTATTACAAAACCCACTAGGGCCAAAGGTAGATCCTAACTGAGTTAAGAGAAACCAACTTTTAGGACTCCCCAGAGAACTTCATAAGACATTTTAGCACTAAAAGTCTGAGAGAAGTTAGAGTCCAGAAGACTCTTAAATCACTAAATCACTAAGATCTGGACACAATGTGCCTCATTTGATTCTTATCATGATTAATAATTAAATCAGCTTACAACTCAATTGGACACTGAAAAAAATGCAGTTTGCAGTGCTGATAAACTTGAAAGCTCTCAGCTGTCTGTATAATATATATCTAGATACTGCCTAGGTATATATATAGATCTAATTTAGTTAATTTATTATTTGAATAATTTAATTTAATATTACATTTTTAAATTGATTTTAATTTAATTCATCTTATTTTTAATTTGATAGAACTTTTTATGTTTAATTTACTGAGGACTCCTAGAGGTAAGATAAGACACTTAGTCAATATGTATCAAGGTCTTTTTGACACTTCAAACACTTGATATTTAATTTCAGTATGTATGTTCATATGAGTCTTTTTTTATTTTTTTTACCTTATGTCCGTCTGCTAGTACAGTGTTTTCTTCCATACAGTACATGTCCTTTGATTGTTTCTCAGATCGATTTTGTGGCTCATGATGATATCCCATACTCCTCAGCAGGAAGCGAGGACGTTTATAAACACATCAAGGAGGCAGGTCAGTGAGTGACGCCAGGCATATAAAATAACTTTCTGCTCTTCCTCTCAAAATAAACAGTGGGCAGTTTTCAAATTCTGTGTGTTTTTGTGTGCAAACCAGGTATGTTTGTGCCTACACAACGGACAGAGGGAATCTCAACATCTGACTTAATTACCAGGATTGTCCGAGACTATGATGTCTACGCCCGACGCAACCTCCAGCGCGGCTACACGGCCAAGGAGCTTAACGTTAGCTACATCAATGTAAGAGCATGATCAATTCTACATGTCTCCATAATGGTTTAATGCTGACAGCATCCTGACAAATATCCCTAAAATAGAGGGTATGTTAGTTCACTTAGGCAAAGGCAAACATTTGTTTCTCTACCCTGATTCAAATAAAGAAATGATGAGTGCCTTATGTATCACATGCGGAATATTTGTTATCATCCATTTAATTGGGCATGATTCATCATGAAATGCAGCACATTGTGTCTTTTAACTGTAACTGGTTACATAAAATTGGCTGTACTCCCCTTATGATGGTAATGAATAAGGCTACAATGATTAGTTCCTGATTGAGGTTCTGGATCTTCAGTTCAATTGTGAGACTTGTAAAAACATTTAATCCCCTCAGGAGAAGAAGTATCGGCTACAGAACCAAGTGGACCGAATGAAGGAGAAGGTTCGCACGGTTGAGGAGAAGAGCAAACATTTTGTGTACCGCGTGGAGGAGAAGAGCCACGACCTCATACAAAAGTGGGAAGAGAAATCCAGAGAGTTTATCGGCAACTTCTTGGAACTTTTTGGACCCGATGGGACTTGGGTAAGTAACTCTTTGATAAGGGGAAAAACTGTTGTCATCAATACCATCATCATCTGTGGACTGTGGAAGTTGCATATCATCACTTTGTTCATACAAATACCAAAAAGAAATATCAGTCATTGTCTGATATTTTGAATAAGAAGACTGTGGACCTTTGTGCACTAACGTTCACTCTTTCTCTCCCCTCTGACCCTGTACAGAAACAGGTGTTTCAGGAGCGCAGTGGACGAATGCTGTCCTACGCCCTGTCTCCCCGAGAGTCGCCCTGCAACAGTCCTCCCCGCGAACTGTCCCCGCTGCGTTCTCCCTCACCCCCATCACCCCAGCCCGCTGGCACACCGCACGGCCCTCTCCCCCAGCCTCCCCAAAGGAGCATCTGCCTTTATAAGCAGCTTGAGTGAAGGTGACGAAGATGAGAAGTAGCTGTACTGTTAAACACATACATGTAAACACACACTTCACTCACAGTACACTGCCTGAGAACTGCTCACACACACACACACACACACACACACACACACACACACACACACACACGTACTCCTACAAACACCGGCTGGATACTTAAACAATTCTCCTCAAGGAAGTTGCTAATATACGAGGCAGACGGGGATCATGGGAAATGAAGTTCTGCGCTGCGGAGCAATGAAGCCATCACGGTCTCTGTTGTCTGGGCAACAAAGCAGACAGAAGAAAGACAAAGGAAGACGAGGGTGAGGATTTACGTACACAGTGTCAAATAAGAAGGTCCAGAATGCCTTGCAGCATCTTTCAAGAGGATTTGCTTTGGATTGTCCAGGGCTGATAGAGACTGTCCAACAGCCTGCTCATAATATCATGTAATTTTTTTGTCTTACTCTGTTAAGATTAGCTTATTTTTTAAGATGCCAAGATTTCTTGTAACTAGTGACCACAAGATGCGAATAGGCACAAAGTTACAGATCATTGTGTGTGACATTTAGTTTAACAGGTTGTGTGAATCGACAGGAACCAAATTAATTCATCAGAGAATTAGGAAACAAAGAAAAGACACTGCACGCCCTAGATTAGCAGAGGTGAAACACAGTCAGTGCTACTTCAGTGCTACAGTGCATCATTTTTGCATAAAGGATTGGCAAAGAATATAACATTCAGCATTGCCCGGTACAGTTATTACCACTTTACCACATTCAAACTAATCCACAGAGCCACAGAAAATCATAACCTTGGGGATATCACCCTGTATGTTCCTAAACTTGATGATGATTGGTGCAAAAAAAGCTGCACTGAAATACAACTGAATATGGAAAACAAACGTTTTCATCACCTCAGCTGTACAGCTGTTTGAAGTCAAACAATATAATCCTAGTTTTTAAGTTCACGTGAGAATAAGAGTTTTGCAATGAAAATGGCAACAAGATCTGAGTCTCGCCTAATCTGTAAAATGACTGTTAGATAGTCCTAAAATAAACTTGATTGTGGTGAGACAGAGAACAGCTTTCATGTATTAGCTTCTTGAATGTAAACCGTCTTTGAGACCACTCCTACAGTAGAGAGAAAATGTAATCACTAATTTGTAGTCACAAGCCATACAAACACACAAACCCTTCATCACCACACTCATTCAGTAGGCCACACAAATATCACATCTCACGGTAATCGATTGGTAGAAACATTTGTGGATTTTCAGCATTAAAAGCCATGTATTTTGTTTGTTTTTTGGACAGTTTTCCACGTTTTATCTATCAGTGTTCAGCAGACATTTTTGCTCTTTAGAATATGATGTCAGCTGTTAATCAAACCCGGCAAACTCGGAGATCAAGCCCTTTTCTAGGATTCTGATGATACTTGAAATATACACCAATTGAAGCCCTCCAGGTGAACTGTCAGGTCCTCAAAAGCCGGAGCATCACCCTAATGTTTTCTTTGCCGTTATTGGAAATGTATGTAACAAGTTTTATTTTTTTTCGCTCAGGTCTGCTCGATCATGCCAGGCCGCAGCAGCAGACCCCTCGTCCACCACTAATACAATAAATACTAATGCAATGTAGAGACCTTACTGTCCTGTACGCACTACATGTTAATCTGCACTATATGTACAAACTTTGGGAATGTGTCTTTTTTTATTTTTGAAATTTTAATGAACAAACGGCTTGATATGTAAATAAATCAAAAATCTATAACTGAATTTGAATTAAAGTGCATTCCACCTGCTCATCAAATTACATAATGTGTAAATCACACACAACAGCAATTCTTCTTTATTGTCAGGGTTGAAAGTGTGAGCTGGACACATTATTCGACTGCTCTATCACTTTTTTTTTTTTGGTACATGTTGATGTTGCATTAATTGCATATATTTACGTGACCACCTCCACAGTGAGGAGTTCATGCATACAAACACACCTGTTTAAGGTGGAGGTACAGTGGGATGGAAAACAGAGCTATCACTCCACACTGGCTGCAAATAAATACAGCAAACACATTATTAATAGTTATGTAGACAAATCTTTTCTAAAATACCACAGGTACAGAGACGGTCTTTAACAGTAAAGGTTGACAGCTACTGAAGATTAAAGATCCTCTGGCCTCTAAATCACACAACTGGAACTTTGACAAAGGTGTGAGTTTTGTCAAATGTGACTAAGACTGATTTGCAGGGAAACCACACCTTAAGAGTTAACTGAGGTCTTTCAAACCAAGAGGACTGTTGTCGCATGTATACAACACAGCACTTCCTTTGCAGCAGGTGTGTCACCGAGCATCACTCAGCAGGACTGGCAGGTTACGAAGACAACGGCAGTGATGAAATTTTACAGTGAGGCTGAAATGAGACGAGGAAGCTTTCCTTTCTGAATTCTTCATCTACACTCCTTTCTTTTCACATCAGATGGAGCTGAAGGAGATGAGAAAAGGAAGTCATTTCAGATGATTGAAGTACCCAATCATCTAGTCCCTAGCAAATGGCACCAGGTTTGGTTCATGTTTGATTAAAGTTTGGTCTTTTCAGTAGTTCCAAAAAGTGACATTGCTATTAAGAAGGCTTTGAGAGTGCAAGTGCTGCCCTGGGATCTCACCTGATCATAATTAATCTTCCTTTTATAAAGAATTTTTTCATAGAGGTCTGAAATGATTATATGGTAGTTATTTCAAAGGAAAATAAATGTGTAGAGTTAGTAAAGTGCTCTAACAAAGTCCCATGTGTGTCAAAATAAGTGGCTCCTTTAAACACATTTTCCCTGTAGGATTTTCCAAACACTGCTTGATTTCATATTGTTTAAATAAAGAAAATGAAGTGAACTGTCCACACACTTAAAATAATCAAAGAAAAAGTATCATTAAATGATCATCAGAAGTAATCATGTTCCAAAGTAAAAGCAAACAAGCCTGAAAAAGCAGTTCTTAGACTCTGTTCCTGGATAAAATAAATTACAAACCTGTCAGGTATCAATTATATTCTGCATTTAAACTGTGTCTTCAATTCGTGTCATTTTTCACTCGTGATAATAAAACCAAAGCACGTTCTCAAAATACACAAGCTTTGTTCAAACCCATTCAGAAGACTGAGGATTAGTAACACCACAAATGAGACAAGGCTGACTGGTTGAAGCATTGTTAGGTTAAGAAGTCCGAGCTGTGAGCATGTTGTACATCCACTGTGGCAAGACGATGGGTAGAAAGCGGGTTTAATGATGTCCTCGTTAGGTGCAGCACGTCCATTTCCTCTCATTACATCACGTTGGTGTGGTTGAAGCTACTTGACAGTCAAAGCCGGCATGGTCGCACTTCGTAAGCATCATACAGACGCTCATTTGGTCCTTTAGTAGTTGTTAAATGACGGGGCAGAGCTGGCTTGCAAGCAGACATGTCTGATAAGGGTCAGTGATGCCGGTCAGCGGTCTGTGGATGGGTGTTTAGCTAACTTTTATGACTGAAGTAGTAAAATATAAACAGGATACTCAGCAAAAACGTCTTCATTCTTCCATTATAACTGAACTTTGAGTTCCAGTAGAGCCTTCAAGGCAGATTTTTTTTTTCAAACATAAAATACGCTATAAATAAGTAAGGCTTTCTCTCTTTGACATAAAATAAAATCCTGACTTCTCTTAAAAATAGGATGTACTCCTACAATTTTTACAATGGAGTTATCATTTTCTTTCATCTACAGGCAATCCTCTCTTTCATTTTCCCAGGCTTAAATAGAGTGCAACAAAAAAAAAGTCTTTACTATGCCAATGGCACACTGGCCTAATTGTGCGTTCAGTTAAAAGTGTCTCCCAAAGGAAGGAAATCTCTATCTCATCCCATTTACACTGAAACTCAACTCTCCCCTCCATCACCGACTCCCGCTTGTGTTTGAGAAAGAGAGAGAAACGGAATACAAGCCTTCACTGATGATGAGAAAGACACTCAATCTGCAGTGCACAGCTTATTCAGCCACAGGGAGTGGTGGCCTAGTCAGCAAAGTCGAGCCAGCCTCAAACTGCATGAGACAGGGGCAGAGTTCACAGAGAGCAGTGACATTTAGCTGAACGTAATGGCCAGATGGAGGAGAAAATGAAGTCAGCTTTTGACTAAATGACAGTGGGGATCTAGAATTTGGTTCATTTTAAACTCGGACAGCCACGGCAATGAAAGCTACGCTGATGAATGTCATTGCCACTGGGTGCAGATTTAAGTCAAGGTCATTCATCTTCTCCAAACCTTTAACCACTGGAATGTAAAAGCAAGTCTGATCCTAAACCAAGCGTTTACCCGAGGGTAACATTTCATGTTTCATGCTGTGCGGGCATTTCAGCTCCCGGCAGAGGGCCGTGCTAGCGGGTCAAGCAGAGTTATCTGTTGGCTTTGTAATTGGACTTGCTGGCATCACGTGGCTCTTTGCTGGGGTTGCTCCAGTCGTCTGCTTCTGGGGTAGTCTTGTAATGCCGCCACGCTGACTTGTTGAAGACAGGCAGGCGCTCGAAGGACTCACTGGACAGGGCCTTTAAATGGAGGAGCAAAACACATGAGCCAACAAGAACTCACGTTAACATTCATGTTTGTAGGAATAGTTTGATGTTTGTGAAATTTGACAATTTGTTTTCTTGCCAAAACTTAGATGGCGCTAAAGATAACATTTGATCTTTTTAGTAGACATTTTGACAGAGCCAGGCTAGCTGCTTCCCCCTTGTTTGCAGTCTTTATGTTAAGTGGTTGTGTGGATGTAGTAACTGATTTTAGAAAATTATGCTGATGTCTTTCAATGCAGCAGCATTGAGTTGTTTTCATTATGTGATATTTCTCCAGACAGACAATCTGAACAGAGGTTTAAGAGTCTGAAGTAACTAACATTAAGTAGTAACTTAGATTCCCTAGACATCCACATGAATATTCATGACATTACACTAGGGCTGGGCGATATGGCCAAACTGTTATCAAGATAAAAACATTTCATACCATTCGATATTGATAATTATCACAATAAATGTCAAATCATTATTTCTTTCAAGTTTAAAGGATGATTTTTGCTCCTGAGTGAAAATTGAAGAAGCCAAATTTTTTTCCTTCTTGGTCAGAACATGCCAAACAGTGGATCGCTTCACAAAACTGAGGCAGAACATTCCAAACCATTCTGATAAAATCTTTCAATCAAACGGCAATCAAAACGATTATGATTAGTAATTTTTTTTTCGGTCCCTTTTCCTCAAGAAATGAAATATGTTAATAGAAGAATTAAGTGCTAATTAGTTTGTGATTCAAATTAATTAAATCAAACATTTGTTATATTGTTAATGAGGAAAATTATATTGCAATAATTGTCATTATTGTTTTATTGCCCAGACCTACATTATATTCATGAATATATTTTGGAAGACGGTTGGCTAGTTGCTACCCCCTACTTCCAGCCTTTATGCTGAGCTAAGCGTCTTCTGGCTATAGCATATTATTTCAAATTTGAGATTGGTATGTATCAATCTTCTCATCTAACTCTTGCAAAAGGTGAATGTGTATCCCCCAAATGTAACTACTCTTTTTAAACTCAACTTAGCTGAGTATCATGTCTTCAGGAGACAGGAGAACCATTAAACATGCTCCACATTTGGCGAGCTCACTTTACCTTCAGATAGATGACTGCATCGGTGCCCACGCCCTCCATGGAGTAGAGTTTCAGATCCCCCTGGAAGTATCGGGCATAGAGCCTAGAAATCGGCAAACCATAGCCAAAACCAGCCTGTATGGGGGAGGGAGAGGGTCAGAATTTAATTTCCCAGGTGTCATGCCGTATATAACAACTATATGGGCCAAAAAAAAGTTTGAAATGGTCACCAAAGTCAATACTGATTTGATTTTGTGTGTGTGTGTGTGTGTGTGTACCAGTGGGACAGCTCCTGGCTCTAGGCTTGGTGTAGGTGCAGTGGAGTACATGTAGTTAAACAGACGGTCTATCTTCCTCAAAGGGACTCCTCCTCCTCTGTCACTGATCTGAGGACAGATCGTTGGGGGAGATGGAGCGAAAGAGTCAGTCACACAGACAGAGAAAAAACACAAATATTTATCTAATGATCTGGTGTGTGTGTGTTTTTTTACCTTTATGGATAGATCCTCTTTACCTAGAGTGACCTTAGCCTTTACTGGTGGTAATTCCTCTGTACTGTTCTCATGTAGCTCCACTGTGGCTCTCATTGAGTTCTACAAACACCCACAGAGTTCATTATTTCAGCTCAGCGCAAGGCTTACAGAATTATAGCCACATTACACTTTAATTACATTTAAAGATCGCCAAAGTAATTAGGTTCTTGCAGCTCACTTTGAAGAGCTCAAACAGCATGTGGAACAGATGAGAGGGCACATACACCGCCTGGATGGGCTTTTTAGGGGCCTTCACTGGAAGACAAGAAATAAAGGAGTGTGAGAAGACAAACAAACACAAAGCTGGTTCTTTTGAAGTTAATGACATACTGAACATTGTAATCCTTAAAGGACTAAATGTGGGCTCCAAATCTGCACCCACAAGCTCTAAATACACTTGTTAGCAGACTACACTGTTTCACTACAGCTGTGTGACAGATCAGAGGGAGAAATGCATGCATGGAAGGATTATTGTGCAAAAGCAAAACAATGTCTTACTGTTGAACTCTTCAATCTTGAGCTCAGGAGCAGCCAAGTAGTACTTCTCACACAGCATTTTGGCCGTGTCATAGGCATCTGATAGGAGGGGGAAAACAACGCGAGTCAGGGCAGAAGAAGCAAAACATGCGCATTGTTTGTATCCGGATTCCTCGCTGGGTCACCAAGAGTGCAGCTTTGGATCCACGCTGCCGGAATTCTTTAAGAACTATCATTTTGTAAACAGGCCGTTTAGCGCAGATGAACTTGGGGTTCTGTTTGATTTGTGTCACTGCTGAGAGTTGCTGGTGTGTTTTAACTCTGTTCACTGTAAGAATTATGCAAATATTTGCAACATAGTACAAAAAAAAAAATCCCATAAATAACAAAATATTCCCACATATAGATAATACAGTACAGGGCTTGTTCAGAAGGTCACCCACTCGGCCCATAGACTACACCACCTAACATGCATGCGCAGGCTGTGGCGCTGTGCATGCGGCCCTCATGTCACCCTGGACCAATGACATTTCAGCAATTAAGTGCCTCGGACGTTTCCCTCCTGTTAATTAGTACTGTGAGCGCTGACAGGTCAGTAAGGGATCATCATAAAATTACCTAGTCTGTGTGTCATTAGTAAGCCTATGCAACAGAGCCTTTTCAGTCCAAGTGTGTAAAACATTGAAGCTCCCTTATTTAGGTTATGCTTTCTCCTCAGAAGTTATACATCTTTGTTCATTTCATCCTCATATGTCATTATTGGTACTTGTTTATCTCATATTATATTGCTTTTATTCATTACTATGTTAGATGTCTAAAATTTCATATGTTTTCATAATTTGTTTATTGTCTTTACAGTTACCACACACACACACACACACACACACACACACACACACACACACACACACACACACACACACACACACACACACACACACACACACACACACACACACACACACACACACACACACACACACACACACACACACACACACACACACACACACACACACGATTTCATTCTACAATAAACAAGTTGCAAGGACAAAGGGTGTGAGAGTGTCACTGGATTGGAAAGATAGTAATAGAGGTCTCAAGTTTGGGGATCAGAAGCAAACACCTCTTTTATAGCGCTCTAAAAACAGTTATATGGATGTAAACTGTAACGACCGTATTAACTGATGATATTCATATATGACCTTCTTTAACTCACCACTGACGACTTCAGCCACACTGCAGGTGGGATCAATACTGCCTATGTGTTTTGGATGGGCCGGGTTGATGTCGTTACCAAACAGGAGAGCTGTACAATAAGAAACAGAAGTGAAAGTTAGCTGCACAGACAGGACAGATGGTTTACTCGTGATCCAAATAAAACAGAATTCGGCTTTGGAGACTCACTGTGCTGGTTGATAAGCATCCGGAAAGAGATGCGGTTGGTGTAGAAGCGGTCGAGGAAATACTGGATGTTGCTGCTGATAAAGGGGTCAAAGCCAAACTTCTCCTTGTACTCTATGACTCCCTGGGCCATGGTGGGAACCACGTCGTTGTGACGGTTACGGATCTCAATCAAGAGCTCCAGGAAACTAAAAATGGGAGCACGGAAGAAAACAAATAATTTTGAGATCGTCAGTGAGGTTGTTGCTTAGAAAATCTCATGGACACACATCAAAAATTATTTAAACCGCTTTTTTGAAGGTTAAAAAAGTAAGAGTAAAAGAGTAAAAGTATCAACGTTATTTCACTTCCACTGAGCTGAACAGTTCTTGCATTCTCTGAACACACAGCTTTATCCAAATTCGTGTTTGTGTTTATCAGTCATGTGTGGCCATTTATCATGCAGGCGTTGTTATAGTATAAATACACAGTCACCTGTAAGGTCAGCAGTGATGTATGTGTGCAGTGGAAGAGAGGCAGAAAGCCTGTATACAGCAGCTGTCAGGGTGCCTGGCAAAGCTATTACTTTGCATATACTGTACTTGCATTTATGAATCATTAATTAAGGCAACATTTACTCACTCATTGAGTACGTGACGGTCCTCTGGCTTTCTGTTCTCATAATCAAGCAGCTCCACAAAGCTCTGCATATACCTTATAAAGCACACAGAGGTCAAAAGGCAGATTTCACACACGCTTCTTAATAATACGACTATTGTAATCCTTATCGCCAAGCCGCCATATTAAAGCGTCTTTCTCAAGAAATGTCTCACCATTTCTGCACCAGTCTGACGGAGGGTTGGCTGAGCAGGTTATCAGGTAGGAGATTGACCTCCCTCATGGTGTTGGCCAGGCGCACCGGCAGCTCCTTACGCAGGAACATATAGGATGTTTTCTCACAAGCATTGTCCCTGCCTGAAAGGGAAAATGATGAAGTATTTGTCAAACCACTATAGTTTTCACTCATTGCAACTTTTTCTGCCAAGAGATTCAGGATTTACTCAGGATTGTATTGTTGTTGTCATGTGAAAACTTACGTATCACAAGGCAACACTTTCAGGGAGAAAAAAAACCCGCCGGATCTCTTAGGCATGACAAACCCTTCCAAAACTGATGCAATAAAGCCAACATGGAAGTGTTATCAAGCTTAAAACATTCCTGACAAAGGTTCACCCAGTGACAAAGTTTGGTTAAATAAAGAAAAAATATTCTGTACGTGGTAGATCAGCCACAGCCAGCTGTGTGTAAGTTCTCTCCTAAATCAAGGTGTAATGTCAACACAAGAGGCTTAACTAGTTAGTTTGCAACTAAATCAGCCCCTACCCAGGGCATGTGTGATTATTTAGTTGTTACTTAGAGTTATGCTGCACCTCATCTCCCTGGGGCAACCGCTTTTTTTATAATCCACAAATCACAACTAATTTACGATATAACTAAGCTACGTTTGAACTTACACAGAGCTGGTGCAACAGGCTGCTGGTCAGGAGCTGCAGTCAGTTCCAATGTTCAACCTTTAATATGATACCTTAAACTTTGCTACCTGGCTGGAACTGTGCTTACTGTCTGCCAGTATTAGCTTGAACCCTATAAGGAAATCATAAATCTTGTTAGCCAGCAGGAGTCATGGAAAGGTTAGGGGGGATTTATGTTTTAGATCTAAACAGGAAAAAACAAATTCCTGCGGCGAAATGTTCAATGTCTTTCTCAAAAATTACTAAGTGGAGATCAGCTTGGCATTTCTACACCCTTAACTCGACTAAAATGTAATTTAACACAATGTGCAAAACAGCCAGGCCTCGGTGTGTGCATGCGAGGACCCACTTGGAAGCATATGAACCCTATTATATATAACCGCTAAACACAGTCAAAATCTGTTGGGGGGGAATATGCTGCTCAGCAACTCAAAGAAGGGTTTGCAGCAGAATGAAAGGAAATGTCCCATCAATGCTTCCACTGATTCAGCAATATAAGGGGAACGGGGGGGGGGGGGGTCATTAATTTTGAAATGGAGTAGTGAAACCACCAAAAGCTGACTCAGCCTGGGAATGACACACAAACAGTGCTGCACCTTTGAAAGAACACCAATACCATTAGCTGCTCTTCTGACACAAACAACTACTGCTGACAAGACCCTGGCTGTGTTTCTTAACTCAAACAGGCGCCGCACGCTTCCTGTACTAACCAATCCACAATTATGTAACCGAGATGACTGTGTGTAATCAGCGTGGGATTAAAGAAAAGCCCTGCGTGCGGCCACCAACACTGTCATCTTGCGTTTTTCAAGTCTCATGCCAGTGAGTCCGGCAGCAGAGTTATTGACTGCAAAATCCAGTGCGCAAGCCCTGCACACGCAAAAGGCCCCTTCATGTAACTTTCATTTGTCTGATGCTAAACTACAACAGTTCCTGCTCTGAAATCTGCTCCTATTGATTGAAACAAACTTAAAACGTGAGCACTGAGTAAAGTTTGTTGAGCAATTTAAAAACTGGGACAAAAGCATGAGCTGGGTGTTCACCCTCCACTGCGTACATGCTGCTGTCCCAGTCCCAGTGAAGATATACCTGCCTGTATTAACCCCTTAATGTTCTTCTCAGCCTTGTGGTTGAGCACATTTTGAGTTATGAAATATTGTTAAAAGGTTGGTTGTGCTTCAGTTGAGTGAAGCTGCAGATAAATCCCTCTGATATGTGGAGTGTTTACTTTCTTTTTCCAACAAGGGAGCAACCACTACACAATACCTAAACAACTGTTGAGCTGTTTCACCAAAACACAGATGACTTTGATCAGATTATATTAAGTTATTTGTGTTTGACTTGATCATTTCATGCTCATTATTTCACTTTAATGAAGACAAAAAGGTGTGGATGTGGTGCTCTGTACATGGACATTTCTCTCAGGCATTTTGTAGAGGCTTATATTAAAACTGCATTCAGTTAAGTAAAAATAAAATTTTTAGATAAGACAGATTTTTTAAAGATTGTTTGTTGTAAGTGCACAAAGGAAATAAAGGAGACCATTAAAGGGTTTAGCAGTCTGTCAATCTTCACATAATCAACAAACCTGCAACAGAAAGCTGTCAAGCAGAGCGATCAACTTGAGTAACATGCCGTTATGAGTGGTTATTAAAAGTAACACCAAATCTAGATTCAAATGATTCATCTGATCGTAACAAGGTATAATGTTTCATGGCAACTTGGAGAAGACTGCTATTAATAACAACAAGCCAGAGCTCGCCTGC